ATTTTCCCTAATCCAACCCGATTTATTTTAACCAGATTACGAGTCAACCCGATGGGTTGACTCATTTTTGCCAAGCCTAGCTTCCATTATAAGTCCAACTTCATGTCATACAACTTTTCCCATTTGCATATTTCAGAACAACAATTGAGTCCACACCAGGCATGGTACACAGTGTTCAAACATTGTTTTCAAATATGGTTTTTAGTAATAGCAGTGCTATATTTATAAAATTTTTATTTATAAATTTTTATAAATTAAATTATGTGTTACGGATAATACATATTACTTCTTGAGATATTATAAGTGTTCAAGAGAAAATGAAAATGAATGAAAAAAATGACAATCACATTGAAGATGCTGACAAATTGAAGAATCTCTCGGAGTAAGCCCAATACTTGCAAAGGATCAAAACTCTTAAAGCAATGACTAATGAGTCGTAGGATTTGTAAATAAATTTTTTGTAAATATAACATATTTTTTTCCTAATGAAATAATAAAAAAAACTAAAAAAAAAACCCATAATTTTATTAACGAATTGCTAACGGAAAAGACCCCAAACGAACATCTAGAATACATATTCTATTACTAAAATAAAATAAAATAAAATAAAAATTTTAGGTTGAATTAGTCCCCAAACGTGCAAGAATATGAGCGGCGATGTAGAAATTGAAAGGGTTTAAATAAATTGATAAACAAGAGTAAAATTTGGAGGGGAAAGATGAAGAAAAATGGGAAAGTAATAGACTGATCAAATAAATGCATCGAAACAAGTAGGAGAAAGATATATCATATATTCAAAGAGAAACCAACAAATCGTTGCGACTTACGAATATGAAACAGAATAGGTAAGGTAGACAACTCTTCTCTTCTCAGAATCAGATGCAAGCTTTGTAGCCTTCGATTCTCTGTCTCTCTAACGGGCATCAAGATTGGAAAGAGCAACTGTTAGTCGTTTTGTTTCGTGTGTTTCAGTCTTTCATATCCAGGCTTCAGAATAAATGACCCATCTCGGAAAATATATATTAAAATATTGTTATTTTAATAAAAAATTATGAAAATATAATTATTTTAAGAGATAGGATATTATAACAACCAATTAAGGCTATTAATATTACTACCAATCAATTTCATGTTAGATCGATTATGTTGATCCAACAGTTATATTTATTTACATTTTTATATGATTATGATTTCTTATATTTAATGTGAAAGAATTAAATATGAAAAATCATAACAATATAAGATTAAAATAAATATAAAGTATTAAATCAGAAGAATCATAACCATACAAAAATAGAAATAAATATAATCGCTGGACTAACATAATTGATCTAACGGTAAAATTGATAAATAATAATATTAATAATAACTTTAATTAATTATTACAATATCTTTTTTCTTATTTTAAATCAATTTATGAATCTATTGCTCACAATCATAATTAAAACGGCATGCCCTCACTGAAACAGCCCTACTTTAGGGAATTTTCTTCAGTAAATCAGATGTATTCATTTGGGTACATCTTTTTTCAAATAAAGTAAATTTTTTTTTCATTTAAATCCACACTTTTACTTTTATTCCATTCATATTTCAACTTTTTTGCTTTTTTGAGACCGATGCATGTTGCATCGGTAGCACCAAATATTTACTCTTATTTTAGCAATATATTTTGAATATTACCGTCGCACTATTGATTGAGTGCGTTAATCCAATAAAAGTGATTTGTTTTCTGTGTCATAGGTACGGATTAAAAAAGAAGAAGAAAAATTTAGGTGTAATTTTTTAAACCACGGTTGCATGTGCTGCGGATGTATGAAAAGTGTTCTCCTATTTTAGGCGTGTAAGTGCAACTTTTTCCCTGCCCGCAGTGATACGTTAAAGTTAAACGCATTATTCTAAGCATAGAACAGTATATCATTTAATATGATTTTTTATTAGACCTCGTGCTGTGTGCTTGAGTATCGTGTTGTCTCAATTGGATTGAAAAGATGGGATGATCTGACTTATTGATTATAGTACAGTTTAATTATATTTGAAAGGCATCTTTAAACCGATTAAAATTAGGTGAAGTTCACTTCAATTAACCAGCCATTGGTTATTATTTTGAAAAAAACTTCAAAAGCTTTTACATATATCATAAATATATTATGTGTTTTACATTATTTCATATTAATTATTTCTATAATTTCATTCATTTGACTAAAAAGTTTAACGGACAGTTTGATTGAGGAAAAACAAATTTATCCAAAAATCATGATTTTTAAGAATATAATAAAAAAATTGACTTTATCGAGAATATTACAAAAAAAATTATTGATAGATTAAAATACCCCTAAAAATATTAGATCAACTTTCCTGATGTTATGTTTGATTAATTGTAAAATATTACTATAAATGTGTTGAATTTTCTATTTTCCTGAGAATTCAAAAATAGCACATTCTGAATTGTATTTTTAGTTAAATTTTGCTCACAAAATAAAATTACGAGAAAATCACATTCCTGAAATTTTTTTAGAAATCCTCTACCAAATGTGAATAACTTAGATTACCACCTTCAATTTCTCAGAATTTTAAATAAAAATTCTTTATCAAACACCACCTAAAGAGAAATTATTTTTTCATGTTATAAGAGATTTTTTTCTTCTACTGATGATCCTTTGACTTTCGTTCATTGTTTTTTTGCTTTTTTATTTTTTTAAAGATGTAGATCTCAATATATGTCTATAATATAATATGAGAAAATTTTCTCCTGTATGAAAAAATTAAACAGCTAAATTAATTCAATCAATCTGAATAAAAAGTGTCACCAATTAATTGTTTGGTCATATTTTAACTACATTGTAAAAACTCGTTTGGATGAATTTTAAAAATAATAATTTTTCTGTGTTATTGTTTAGATTTTTTAAAAAGTCAGAAATATTGACTTTAAAAAATGCATCATTTTGGCTTTTTTATTTTATTTTTAAAAGTTATATCTAAATACAGCATAAAGTGAAAAAGAACTTTTATTTAAAAAAAGCATCTAAACATGTCGTAAATATATGAAGTCTAAAGTCAATAATACGAAAAAATATGACAACGTGACATTGGTTCCAGAAGAACTAGCTAAGCGATTAAAATATGACATTATCAAGGATAATTTTCAAAGGAGTAAATGTTCAAATTCTGGCAAAAGGTCTTGTTCCATGTATGGGGACAAAAATGATCTATTATTGGTTCTAGAAGAACTTATCTATAAATATTGGAAAAAATATCTATTATTTTAAAAAATGTAAAATTGTATTATTTTAAGTGAAAGAAAGAGATAAATTACGAAAGAGAGAATAGACAAAAAAAAATAAAAATATGAATCTCACATCTTTATAAAAGTAAAATAACATAATTATGCATTTAAAAAGACAAATACTTTTCTTATAAATATAATTGTCACGAATGGTCAAACTCACCGGGAGGAAAGATGTTGTTATAGTAATTGCAGAAAATGGAAAGATGGCATAATGGAAAGTATCATGGGTTGAAATTGCACAGGTTTGCTATTTTTATCGGACTCTCAAAAGTATCATTTGAGTCTTTTTTAAATTAGAGTAAATATTATGTACCACAAAAAAAAAATAGAGTCAATAAGTCCTTTGAGCCCACCCATATTTCATATACCACTGTGGTCAGGGAAAAAGTTGCACTTGGTCATGTTGCACTCACTCATTCCTAGCGGGTTTGAGTGAGAGAACGTGCCAAATTTTAGGGTTATGTTCGCGTGATTGAATATAATAAATTTATAAATTGATTTAAAGTAATAATATTTTATTAAAATAAATATATTTTATAACTTTTTATTAAAAAATATATTTTAATTTTTTTCTCACCTCATCTCACTATACAACTTTGTATTGTTTTTTTTAATAAATATACATGACTCGTTCGGTTTTATTTGAATCGGTCGGGTTATCAATTTTCACAAAAACCAATCGAATTACATAGATTCTATTACTTGTCTGATCTAATATAAAATCAGATCGATTTATTAGTTTTTGGATCGACCCGATCAGTTGGATTGGATTTTTTGAACACTGACCATGAAAAAACAAGAATTAACGTTTACTTATAATAATATGCAATAAGTCTATAATATTTACCATACGTCTTACTTACTATTTGATCGTTTTATCACAGTCATTCTTTCCCCCCCTCTACTTTTTTTTAAATGTTTTAACAATATATTTATTGGAAAAGTATTTCTTCAGTCATTGGAGATAAAGTTATCTCCAGTGAGCTCAAAACGACGTCGTTTTGAGTTATAAGATTAAAAATTTATAATGATAAAGACTAATATAATTCTGCAATATATTATAATTACAAAAATACCTTAATTTTCGTCCCAAAACTATATCGTTTTGGACTCACTAGAAATAACTTATATACATTGATTGATTGTAGAAATCCTTTACCCTATATTTATAGGGTTACTTTCCTAGTGTTGCCGAAAAAAAAACAAACTTTCTCATAAGACTTATATTTTGGTAGGGGTAACAATTTGTTTTTTTTATGGGATTTGCATTTATCATTTAAAATGACATAACAAAGTTTTTTACCCACACAATATTTTGTGGGGCCCACACTTTTTGAAAAAAAAAAAAACTACGGTACACAAAACAAAACTCTATAACGTTACACAATCACTTTTCCTACAACATAACTCTTAGGAAACCCTCGATCAAAATTGTTTTCTTGTCGTGCAATACATTATCCAATATTTATTTTAAACTTGATTGAAAATACATCCTGGCTACTACTGGTTAAGTACTTCCATATTCTGGGGTAAATGCCACAGTCAGAGCTCAAAAAAATGCCCACCTAGCCAAAATAGCTCTAATTCAATAATTATTAATTTTTTATAAATCATTATTTTTTAAAAATACTAAAATGACAAAAATAAAAATTCCCAACTTAGGGCAACGTGTGATGGATGGCTTGTCCCTGCTATGTTAAAACATGATCCAAAAATTGTGATGCTGTATCCTCCATTGCCACCATACCCGAAACTTTTCAACTAAACTGCAAATGAGTGCTTGCAAAACCCTTTTGTGTGTTTCATCACTCTGTTCCTCCTTCAAATGCACACATCCTTCTCTTCCTCCCTCTCTACCACACACTCTTTCTCTTTCTATCTCTCTCTCTTCCCTCGGATTAAGATCCACTCGGAGATGTTACACTTCACCTCAAAACGCTGCCGTTTCAATCGAAGAACCCTTAGACGAAGATGACCAATCCGGCGACACGGTCCACCACCTCCTCACCAGCACCGAAGGTGTATCAACGCTGATGAAGATGGATCGCAATCCTCACCCTCCTCTTCTCAACGAACCGCAGGCTCGGTGGTTCCCTTACCTCGACAGGTTCAGGTGCGGGAACGGTTACGTTTTGAGTAGCGGCGAGATCATCGAGGCCGTTAGTCCCTGCATCTCCGAGGTGAGGAAACAGAGGTTCAGGAACGTGGTTCGGAACCGAACCTACTCGGTTTGTCTCGTCGTGGAAGGGCTCTCTGATCTCAGCAACGTCTCCGCCGCGTTTCGATCCGCCGACGCCCTTGGCCTTCAGTCCGTTCACGTCGTGTCTTCTGGCACCAACAAAAGGTGTTAACGTTGTTGAGGTGAAATTTAAAATTTGGAAAAATGGAAAATCACTTGTTTTTTTATAATTATTATTGCTAGTGAATATGAATAAGGGAGTGTTTCATTCTAATTGAAAATCTGTTAGAAAACGGTGAATTTCATTCATTGAATCATAAAAACTGAACTGAAACATAACTGAACGCTAACAACCAACTGAACGATAACAAACTTATGTAACAGAATCAGGAGCTAACTGACTCATGTAACAGAATGAGAAGCAATAACAGAATCAGAATTGTGTATAGTCTGTTATACCTTCCTTCCTTGTTGCAGGTATAAAGATAATCGCCACGTGAGCATGGGTGCAGAGAAATGGTTGGACATTGAACTCTGGGACTCTACAAAGGAGTGCTTTCAAATGTTGAAATCACGTGGTTATCGAATTGCCACCACTCATGTGGGAATGGATGCGGTATTGAATCCACAGAAATTGTGTGCCACATTGTGTTCATTTGTGAAATGGATATATATATATTTTTTCAGTATTGTTCAATTATTGTGATTCCTGAAGCAAAATCTTGAAATAAAATTTCTCTTTCTGTTTACAGGTTCCAATTTATGACTTAGATTGGTCTTGCCCAACTGCAATAGTAGTCGGGAATGAAAATAGGTTATTTCCTTCATTTTTGTCTTATAAGTAAATCTGGTTCAGTTCAATTTGATGCTCGCTGCTTATTTTGGTATGCCATTCGATATAGAAAATTCCTTGCAATGATTTTGAAGATGCGAATGTGAGGTTATTGTAACTTTCATTTGTTCTTGTTTATGTTCGTATATCGCTTCCCATATCGAGTAAAAGTGCAAACCTATAGCCGCACAAGTAGGAATAGTGGCACCAGAAATAATATTGTTTCCATAAAGTAGAGATCCAGAAACTGGCTCATATTCAACATTGGTTATGATCTTGTTGCAGGGGAATTACTGAGGAGGCTTTGGAGTTGTCGGATTTGCATTGCTGTATTCCGATGAAAGGAATGGTGGACTCTTTAAATGTTTCAGTTGCTGCAGCCATCCTCATGCATCATGTTGTTTGTGATAGAATATCTCGTGTGGTAATGATTTTGATTCTGTACTTTATGTGAATTTGTGGCACCCAAGGACATATCAATCTGAATCTGATATCTGATTTTATTTTATTTTTTATTGATATTGTACTGAACCACTATGGTCACTTCATCTGAATCAAATAGCTGACATCGTTTTGTTAAAATTAAAAGAATTAAAAAACCTTCTACCCGATTTTGTGCTCCTATGTTTGATTGATCTTGAAAACTTAGATAAATTGGCTCAAGTTTATCATACAAGTGTGTTTTTTTTTCTTTTTAAATAAAAAATAAGTGTTTTTAGATATTAGAGAGAAAAGGTACAAAAAGGAGGTGGGGGGAAACTAGGTATCCTCCTGAACAGAGAAGCTAAAGAAAACATCGAGCCAAAGGGGCTAATAAGTCAATAACATCATAGCTGTTAAATCTCTGCATATAGGAAATAGAGACTTTCTTAAAACAACAATGGGGAGAGCACCAGAGAGAGAGAGACCATAAATACAATTGTATCCCATATCATTTGTAGGGATAAAGTGGTGTCCTTGAAGTTGGGTATTCTGCTCCAACCAAATACAGTAGAGGACTGCATATATCACAGACTACCATAAAAATTTGACCTCCTTAGTCATGCCAAGATCTGTTGAAAAGGACACTCCCATAGTTTTATTCAAAAACCCAAAATAAGTTATATACCAAAGGAACCTGGGTAATGTAATAAACTTATAATAAATGGGAAACTATTTTGGAACAAAATCTGCACATATCGCAGCTGTGTGAGGGCGAATTTGTGCTGTATCTTTTGTACTAAGCTTCTTGTGAACTGTTGTCCGTACAATAATTACTTACTGTACGAGTTTTAAATTTCCAAGTGAGCTTTTCAAGAAGGATTCTCTCCCTAATAGGAGAATGAGTTAGAAAATTCAAATTAAGACTTTTCAAGAGAGAATAAATAATCAGACATCTGACACTTCTATACTGATTGGAAGAAACAAGTTATTATACTCTTACTCCTCTGAGGAAACAACTGTGTTGTGTAATTAAATTAACCTTATTTTAATAATAATAACCCAATCACTACATTGCTATAATTGTGCATTTCTTGGTTCCATCGATTGCATGTTCCAATCTTCTTTTAATCTATAGAGACATATAAAATTACTTATGTTTTCTTTTCTTTTTTAATATTTTTCACATTTCCTGTAAATGAAGTACTAAACAAGATCAATGTACCAAAAAAAAAAAAAAAGGTACTAAACAAGTTCTATTGTTCAAACAAATTTATATGACATTAATATAATTCATACGTGGCTGCATCATTATCACAGTTTGCTGCATCTCCTTTTGATGTTTAGCAGACACTGAATTTTCCTTAACATTTCCAGGGCCGTCATGGTGATCTGACGGTAGAACAAAGCCAAATTCTACTTGCAGAGTTTTCTCTGCGCCATAGCAAGAATGCAATTAGTATTGCCCAAGATTATGCAAAGCGCAAGGCAGCAATATTGACCTAACAGCAATAACAGGAAGTCAAATTTCTTCTAATGATATGTTTTCATGTCATTGACTAGGAAACAGACAAGAGACTAGATTATTTCTGATTGACTGGTTCCTACAAACTAGCCAAGCAAATGCTACATTGCATTAGCTGAAGCATGGCGCACAAGGCTCATAGATGACAATGGGGACCTTACCATAGAATACCAAGCTTTTTTTTAGACTGTGGATTATTTCCTCAACGGTGTGCTTACTAGCTCCATTTACTTAGCAATGGGGAATGATGTCATAAAAAATGCAGCTGTATTTTCTTTGTGTGATTTTTTGGGCATTATTGAGTCTAAAGGACAAGGATTTCAAGTTCCTAGTTCGAAGCATTTTGACATGCTGTAATTTTATTTTAAAAAAGGGTAAAATCCTCACTTCCTTGGTAGATGCTCGAGGTTATGCTGCTGGCATTTTTATACGTGATCAAAATTAAACTCTAATGATGAAGGGTTTACTTTTGATCCATCTCCAGAGAAGAGCTTTATAGTATCATTTAATTAATTCATTAAAATAATGTTACTCTTTAGGTAGTTATTATCGGTCAAACTCTTTTAATAATGTATGCTTTCATGAGTGTATTAGTGTTAACAAACTCTTAACATTAAAATTAATTTCAATAAGAAAACATACGAACTTTGGAATTGTAATATGCTCTCAACCTCATCTTCTGCAAAATGCGACTCAATTCAAAAAACAATACAAAAACTGCACCTACTACTCATCATGCCTTTCGCCAATGAAAAATTAGACGGCAAGACAATTGGAGAAATCAGTGCATTACTACTCGACACAAGGGACTGAATGTTGGGATCATTTTGCAGGAAATATGTTACAGCAGGTAGTGTAAAAAAATGAACGTGGCCTTTCATGGTATCTTTGCATAGATATGTGGAAATGTAATTAGAATGCATCATCACTAAAATTGTCACCAATGGATATATTTGACGATGAATATCCTGTATTAGCAGGGCCAAACAATAATTCTAGGCAGAAGGCAGGGCCACAGATTGATCTTCCTTTCTTCCCAACTTTGTCCATGTCCTTTATTGTGAGCTACAAAAACAATAGTTTCAAAAGGGAAATAGTCATTTCCTATTTAATTGTAAATGTCACACACTCAGCAAAATGAGAAGAATTTGAACTTAGTTACTAAATTTCATGAAGGCCTTTCTATTGCCTTTATTTTTACTTTACCCTTTGGTGGTGCATTTTTAATTGATTTGAATATCACTACATCACATCTTAGATAGAGTCATAAAGAACAGCTATTCAATCTAGAAATTTTGTTGAACTGAAAATGCCACGATCTATGCAATCCACTATTTCATATTCACAACAGCAGTACTTTTAGAACAATATCATGTAGCTTAAAATCATGAATAACTTGGTTTTGTGTATTCAGTTATATTTCTGTGTCTCTCATATAAGTATTTTCTATATCCATTATTAGGAATGCTTCAAAATCCTAACTATTTCAATTATAGACTACCTAAACAAAAACTAAGAGCATGTTTGGTGCATAGTATATGATAAGACATGATAGTATAAGACCTGATTGAATTTTAATACTATCCAGCGTTTGACATGGTATTGTATAAAATAATATAATGTATAAGATAATATCATCTAGTATTTGGTAATGCACTGTATAATACTATATAGGATGAAAATAAATATTTTTAATAAAAATATCTTTTAATAAAGAATTTATATAATTCTTCACAAAATGTCACATGATATTAATTTTTATAAAAATCTATTGATCAGTGTGTCCAAAAAATAAATTAATTTTTATAAAAATAAAAATATTCAATATTTTAAAATTTAATATATTGAAAAATTAATTTTTATTTTAATATATTAAAATTTTAGAATTGCACTGGTCAACGATGTTAATACACTAACCCAATCCTTCTCCCTTAGGCCGGATTAAGTTATACATCATTTTGATGTATTAAGGGATTCTGCTGTATAAGCTTATACTATATGATGGTCACACCAAACAACTGAAAATGTCATAATGTATAGTATAAGCTTATACTATCAGACCTTATACGTCACACCAGCCCTAAGAATACATTGAGATGTGAAATTTATGTTATGTAAGCTTCACCTTGTAGAGATTTTCCATGACAAATGACATATCATTACCCTTTTTCATTGTAATCATATTTGAAGGGTATAATAATTCCATCCCATCTAATATAGCAGCAAACAAAATTGATAATGCCCTGAATAAAAAATGAGATCACCTGTAGTAAGCTGTTCCTAATAAAAGCTGTATTAAAACAGCAGTAGAAAAGACGGCCTCCTATCATTTTCTCATAGAATATGACACGTACATCTCCAGTTACCTGTCCAATGTTGTAAGGTCTGGTCAGAATATTTGCAGATACAAGTGAATTGGATATTGCATAGAAAAAATCCATCAGAGCAAATTTTGTTGTTGATGTTGTGCAGTTGCATATTTTTTTAGAGTTTCATAAAGTAAATAAGCAAAAACAATAGAAGGGATTCCAATTTTTTTTTCTTCTAAAAACAAAGTTGATTAGACTCTCTGATTAATCAAAAAAGACTATTTTCTTGGTGAATTCAACATGTAATATTAAATATAATGGGCAGTGATTACTTACTTGTATTGGTCTATCAAAATAATGGTCCAAGCAGGATTTTTGGTATATTACAGGACTCTCTGTGTCCATTTGAACTACAATACGAGGTTCTTCCATTTCTGATATCTTTCCATCTTCATCACCTTCAGGAATAGAGATATAATAGCGAGGACTGTTATTTCTCTGATAGCCTTTCTTAATCTCTCTACAGCAGCTCCTGGAAACTTCCACTGGTGGACGATAGACTGCATTAGGAACCTGTAAATAAACATGAACAACACAATCTTGGTAAATATAATTTAAGCATGTTCTCAATCACTCATATATCATACATACATAATTATAAGGGGAGATCATAATGGAACAAAATAATCTGTTGAGATTATAGGGACTAGTTGAAAAAGAGAGACACTAAATAGTAACATTGATGTAAGATATGTTGGATAATTAGGTCAATTACTAGTGTAGTACAACTAGTATAAGCTTTATCCCAATTAGACTTCAAACATATAAAGAATCCAAATATTCTAACACCCTCAGCTTGTGCAAATTAGCAGACTAAAAGAAAAATAACTTAAAAAATATATAATGTGGTCTCCATAAACCATTGCTGGAAAGATAATTCAGCCAAACGTGGTATCTAGGGCTGTGTGCATGGGTTAGGTCGGGTCAGGTTTTTGTCCGACTCGACCCAACTTGGTTTTTATAGGTCAGGTATTTTGACCCGACCCACTTTCATTTGATCCAAGTCAGGTCTGACTTGGATTGGATTTTGTTGAACTAGTTCAGAACCAGTTTGGATTTGACCTGACTTGGTTTCTGAAGTGGGTCTGACTTGGTTTCTGAACTGGGTCAAATCTGACCTGACCCGTTTTTGACTTGATTTTCTCACAAAATTTTGTCGAAATTTTTACGTTGCAAAAGACGAAAATTTCGTCACAAAATTATTTTTTCGTCGAAACTTTTACAAAAAAAATTTTTCTATCGAAATTTAGTTTCCGTCAACAGTTTTGACGAAAATGATTTCTTCCATCAAATGTTTTAAACGAAAAAAGAATTTTGTCAAAAAATTTGACGGAATGTTTTTCGTTCAAAATTTCGATAGGAATGTGTTTTGACGAAAATTTTGACGGAAATTATTTTGAGGGAAATGTTTCATTTGAAACTTTCGACGAAATTTAGATTCTCTAAAGAATATTGACAGAATATTTTTTTCGTCAAAATGTTTTTTTTGTCAAAAAAATTTACGGAATTTTTTTATAGAAATGTGTTTCATTGAAAATTTTGATGGAAATTTTTAATCAAAAAACTTGACAAAAATATTTAATTGAAAATTTTCGATGGAAATGTGTTTCGCTAAAAATTTTGACGAAAATTATTTTTTGTCAAAAAATTTAACGAAAATTTTTTCGTCGAAAACTTTCGCATAAATTTGAAATCTATAAAGAATTTTGATGAATTTTTTTGCCGTCGAAATTTTTTGCCGTCAAAATTTTTTGATAACGAAAATATTTCCGTCGAAAACTTTCGCTAAATATTGAAATCTGTAAAGAATTTTGATGAAATTTTTTGCCGTCAAAATTTTTTGATGACGAAAATATTTCTGTCGAAAACTTTTGCCGAAATCTGAAAGCTGTAAAGAATTTTGATGAAATTTTTTACCGTCGATATTTTTTTCCGTCAAAATTTTTTAATGACGAAAATGTTTCCGTCGAAAACTTTCGCCAAAATTTGAAATCTGTAAAGAATTTTAATGAAATTTTTTACCGTCGAAATTTTTTGAAGACAAAAATATTTCCGTCGAAAACTTTCGCCGAAATTTGAAATCTGTAAAGAATTTTAATGAAATTTTTTGCCGTCGAAATTTTCAATGGAAATTGCTTTGAGGAAAATGTTTCATTTGAAACTTTCGACGAAATTTAGATTATCTAAAGAATTTAGACAAAATATTTTTTCTGTCAAAAGTTCTTATCGAAATATTTTTGTCAAAAAATTTTACGAATTTTTTTTACAGAAATGTGTTACGTTGAAAATTTTGATGGATATATTCTTTATCAAAAAACTTGACGAAAATATTTAGTCGAAAATTTTTGATAGAAATGTGTTTCGCTAAAAATTTCGACGAAATTTTTTTTTGTCAAAAAGATTAACGAAAATGTTTCCGTCGAAAACTTTCGCCAAAATTTGAAATCTGTAAAGAATTTTGATGAAATTTTTTTCCATCAAAGAATTTCGATGAAAATGTGTTTCGTCGAAAGTTTTTATGAATATATTTTTTTGTGAAATATTTTGACGAAATTTAGATTCCGTAAAAAAATTTGACAAAAAAAATATTCCGTCAAATTTTTTTACCGATATGTTTTTAATCACAAATTTTGATGAAAATATTTTTCGTCAAAATTTTTTGCGAAAATTTTTATGAAAATATTTTCCATAAAAAATTTTGACGTAATTGTTTTACGTTAAAACTTTTCTTTTAATGTAATTGTGATTTTTTTTATATATAATGGGTATGGGTCAAGTTTTGGGTCAGTGGGTCAATATTAAAACGAGTCAGGTCTAAAACTGACCCAAATAAAAGTGGGTCAGTATTTAAACCAGTTCAAAAAATATGGATATTTATGGGTCGGGTCAAGATCGGATCAAGGGCAGGACAAGTGAACCAATTTTTTTGTACAACCCTAGTGTGGTATCTCTAATGTTTATGTATCATAAATTGAGGTGAACTAACCTCCTGAAGCTCTGAGATCACAAAGAATACTGTGTCAATATTGACTGTATCATAAAGCCGGATTCGCCGCAATTCTCTGCTACATGGTTGAGGCAAGTTCACCTTTGGAGGTCCATATCCAGTGCCCCTTGGGATAGAAAGTAGACTTTCCCAGTACCCTACATAACGACGTTGGCTTGGTATTGATACCTGATCCCACAGAAGCACAAAAATTTAGTTCTTTCATTTTTATGTTCCTTGGGGGTAACAAAAGAGTTCAGTATGTGGGGAAAAAAGAAAAAATAGCACACGGAAGAAATGGTATACTCCTATAAAAAGGAAACTAAGTCACAAAGTCCTAGCTTTTTAAATCCATTCTTAAGTAACTTTTTTCTTGAATCTCCAATTTGTTTTTGTATTTTCACCATCCATAGTTCACAAACAAGTCATGTTATTTTCATATATTCAGATGTCACTTCCTTATTAGTTACCATACCATTCACTAGGTTGTGATAGTTTCTTGAAAATGATGTGTTGATATCCAAATTCTGTTTGTGGCTGAAGACAAATTTCACATTTCAAATTGTTGGAATTATACCTAACATAACTTACTCCTTCATTATTGGTTGTCCGTCTTTCTGCATACAATTGAAGAGCCTCATCTGCTGACATGCCGCAATAAGTTAGGTATGAACACACCATTAAGCCAGTTCTACCTTTCCCTGCCTGTGTAATTGGAATCAAAGAATAGAAATGAGAAATGATGTAACTAGTTATAGTTAAATATACTAGAAGAGAAACTTTTCACACATATTTTCAACATCTAAATGATTCCTTTATTTTTAGCAAAGTAATTAATCTTAGAAGCATCCAACCAAATAAAAGAAGTATAAACCTGTTGCTGCTAATGAGATGCTTGAAGGTCTATTATGCGATTTATTTAGTTACTTAAATGCCAAAAAAAAAAATGAACATACTAAAATTGAATTATTGATATCAATAAAACACTTCATTTGAAAATTGCTGAATATTCTAATTGGATAGTTTGACATCTCATACCATGCAATGAATAACAGCAATATTTTTTGGGTCACTTGACAGCCATGAATCCACACTTTCACAGAAAGCTTTGATCATTTCAAGAGATGGCACATGGTTGTCATCAAAAGGGTATGCTTCCACGCGTCCATAAAAGTGTGCTGGATCATAACTTTCTTCTATACAGAGATTGTAGATCTGAAAATTTCAAAAGTGATATGCTTTAGCTATAACAATGTGCAAGATAGTCATAGAGGAGAAAAGTAGAATGATAGGTACAATAAATCAACCACTATCATGCTCAATACTAGATTAAATAACAAAGACAAACTGAACAAAATTTCTGGATTTAAAGAACAAACTTTCAATCATTGATAGCAAAATGATTTCCATGAACAATATGTTCCATAGACATACTTTAGGGCAGAACTACAAGTATGCATAATCATGATGAACTCCCAACAATGAGATTTAAATTCCACCCCACCAAAAAAAAAAATAAGGAAAGGAAAGAAAAAACAACACTTTCTGATTGTATCTGTTGTTATAATCATTCAATTATTTCAATAATGAAGTATATAGTTCTTTATAAAAAAAACTGAAAACATGATCAAATTGATCCAGTAGATAAAGAACTAAGTAAAAAGCAGGCAAACACATCAAGGGTGAATATGATGATAGTATACACTATGCATGGCCATGGATTGAAGGTGCACCTTATAATGGTCATGATGTCTCATGTCCAACACAGATTTGACCTGCCAGAGAGGATTTCGATACATTGCTCGCATTCTTTCAGCAGGAAATGACATTGCTAATACTCTTTCTGTGATATATGACATGTCAAGATCATAGCCAGCAATAAGCATTCTTCTCCTTTGTTTAGATACCAAGTTTCGAATGAAATTCTTGGTAAGGTAGTTGATCATATGATGATGCAAACTTAGGCTATCAATTTTGGGTGGTCCCTGCTTTGACAATTTCAACCCCATTAGGTTGATATCTCAGGTTCCACACTGATGAAAAGGTACCTATTACAGAAAGAAGATGTTCATAAAATAAGGAAAGCTTAAAGTTAGATGCATAATTTAAAATAAAAATATGAACTGTATAGCAGTGAAGTGGCAGAATGTCACCATTGAAAGTATAGATTTATAGAGTTCGAGACAGCTAGAGCCATTGGAAAAAATGCATACAAATATTTATAAGCGAATAAACTCAACAACAACGTATTGTAGAACAAACTCTAGAGTTTGTTAGGTTGTTATTCTAACCTAGGTTGTTTGTGCAGATAAGGTTTGTTGTGTAACATTTTTTCAAATTTGAATTTTCTCTTATTTTTATCTTTTTGCACGGATAGGCTTTATCCATTTTTGTAACTGTGGAACTACATCACGTTGTGAATCATTGGAATAACAAAGATACCAATTCTATTCAAAGGAGGCTAATTTGTTGAGGAAGATAACCATAAAACAAAAAATGTTTAGAAGCTTGACATATTGTAATATCATTAATCATTTCGTTTGTCAATATATTCTGTTCCATTGTAGTGTGCACCGTATAAAAAGCATTCATGAAGATGTGCAATGAACCCACGGCATTAAAGGAGATACAGCTGCTACACCCAGTTTGGCTAATCAAACCAAATCATTTTTAAAAAAGCTAATGAAATAAAAAGTCATTCTCATCTAATTAAGAGAAAAAACAACCCAAGCCGGGCAGCTCAGTTGATTCTAGGAGGACTGAGCAAGGTGAGGACAAGAACCACGGTTCGAGTCCCACCAAATGCCACGTTGGGAAGGTTAAGAAATTTCATAATCCTATACCACGTCCCAGAACTTCGGATTAGTTCCATAGATAGTTCAAAGAGTCGAATCCGTAAGAAGAAGAAACAAGAAGGAAATATACAATACAAGTATTAACTTTGTTGGTTCCTCTTTCATGTTATGATAATGATTACACACGATTCAAATGACTTTTAATACATGTTGCTCTTAGATTACCGTTTTACGTGCAAAATTTAAACCATACATTCCCTCGCTTGATCAACAATTGACAGCGTCAATAAGAGATAACATCCTCCAAAGTATCATCACAAATTGCATTTATGATCCACTTCGTAGTAGAAGATGAACAGAAGGTTTGGTAAATGCTATATCAAGATTTGTACTCATTTTTTTTTTGTTCTAAGATTTCCTTTAGAAAAAGGAAACAATTTTGGCATACCATTCATTACCTTCCTATATCTTCACTGAAATTAAAAAAATAATCAACTTTTCATAGACCCTTTACAAAACAATGAAAAATAATAGATATAGATGGAGGGGGGTATCAAATGCGGTACCCAAATAAGCTCAACATGTAGCTGCAGATTAGTAGCTCTGAAATAGAAAGAGCATAAACAAGCAAAAACTCTAGGGCTCCATAGAAATTCAGGAGACCCCAGAGAAAGGAAAAGGGAGGATGATGAAATGATAGGTGATGATTAGATCCTCCATGAGACATGTTGTGATGTGTTGGTAAGTAAAGAGAGAAAAAAATGGTAATGGCATTGGCAGAAATGATTTTCCATATTTGGAGATCATCAATGATGACCTCACTTCAACACAGCATATCCAAATTTAGACACAACAGAACCGATAACATAGGTATTGGTTAGTTATTTCAGAAATGATTTTTGTTGCCTTTCAGATTTTACTTTTGGTTACGTTACAATTAGGTGTCATTTTCAGAATTTTTTCTCTATCACATGACTTTGTTGAGGTTTAAATTAGATTAAAAACATTATGATATGATAGTTTTAAGGTTTTATAAAAGGAAAAGTGTTTATCTTTTTAAATGACACAACTTAATCCATAGTTATTAAAATCGGACCGACCCGGCAACCGTGGGATATAGCATCCCAAAAGCTAGCTCGAAGGATGGGAGTGCCCAAGGCCTTATAAACTCCACATTAGTTGCACATACAACCCATGTGGAACTATATATCTCAACACGCCCCCTCACACGAGAGCCCATTGGGCTAGAAGAGTGGATGATGCAACATGCCCAGCCTACTTGTGCTAAGAAATTCCACAAGAGAAAGTGGGGGCGGCGAGGATCGAACCCGGTACACCGAGGCTCTGATACCACTTGAAAGAAAGTGGGGGGCGGCGAGGATCGAACCCGGGACACGAGGCTCTAATACTATGTAAAGAACCTTGGGATACACCATCCCAAAAGCTAGCTCGAAGGGTGGGAGTGCCCAAGGCCTTATAAACTCCACATTAGTTGCTGCACATACAACCAATGTGGAACTATATATCTCAACACACCCCCTCACACGAGAGCCCATTGGGCTAGAAGAGTGGATGATGCAACAGACCCAGCCTACCCGTGCTAAGAAATTCCACAAGAGAAAGTGGTGGGCGGCGAGGATCGAACCCGGTACACCAAGGCTCTGATACCACTTGAAAGGATGTGGGGGGCGACGAGGATCGAACCCGGGACACGAGGCTCTGATACCATGTAAAGAACCTTGGAATACACCATCCCAAAAGCTAGCTCAAAAGTGGCTGCGCGTGGGCTTCACGCGCTGGAGTTTGGGTGGCGTGTGAGAGCGCGTGGGCTATCTTCTCCGGCTGAAATTTTTGCACCGTGGTCGTCCAGCGAGCGCGGCTGTGTCTGTGTCTGGTCGGAGTAAAAAATACACCGGAAAAGGGTCCAAAACGCGATGAATAGGTTCTGTGTACGGTGGTTGCAGCGTTCTGTTGCAGTGTTCTCGTTGTTTTTGCTGTGCAGAGACAAAAAAGAGGAAGAGGAACAGTGGAACAGTGGTCTTCTCGGTCCAAGAGGTCCCTGAATTTTTTTTCTGGTAGCGGCTGATGGCAGTGAGAGACGAAAAAAAGAATAAAAGGTTTCGTAGACGCAGAAGCAGAGCCTTCAATATCGAGAGCTCTGATACCCACTTGAAAAAGGGTAATCAGAAAAAAATATTATTAATTCTGTGTTTAATCTGATACAAAAAATTCTCTATTTATAGAGAATAGAAGACCTAATTCTTGACCTAATGGGCTTGACCCAATACAACAAATAATAATAAATAACTAATATTTACAACAGGGTGGGAGTGCCTAAGGCCTTATAAACTCCACATTAGTTGCTCACACAGCTAATGTGAGACTATATATCTCAACACGCCCCCTCACACAAGAGCCTATTGGTCTTGAAGAGTGAACGATGCAACAGGCCCAGCCTACCTGTGCTAAGAAATTTCAAAAGAGAAAGTGGGGGGCGGCGATGATCGAACTCGGTATACCGAGGCTCTAATACCATTTGATAAGAACCTTGGGATACACCACCTCAAAAATGTTGAGATATATAGTCCCACATTGGCTGTGTGAGCAACTAATGTGGATGTTGTAAATAATAATTGTTTATTATTTAGTCATTTATTTGTTGTATTGGGCCAAGCCCATTACGTCAAAATTAGGTCAAGTATTCTCTATAAATAGAGAACCCTTTGTACAGATTATAAACAATTCAATAATATTTCAAATACCTTTTTCTTTCAAGTTGGTATCAGAGCTCTCGATCCAGAGGGCTCTGCTTCCGCAATTACCTCCGTTAAAACAGAAACCTTCTTTCTTAGCCTCTTGCCGCCATTAGTCGCCACCGAAAAAAATTTTCGGTGGACCTTTTGGACCAAGAGGACCAGTTTTCAAATCCTTTTTCTCTGATCTATCAGCTTACGGAAGTGTTATAATCGTTTGACGATCGGATCTTCACAAAACAACACAAGGCCGCTACTGTTCATCGCGTTTTGGACACTTTTCCGGCGACCTTTCAACTCTGACCGGCCACAGAAAGGTTCGAGACCGTTGGACGACCTCGCCGCCGAAATTTCAGCTCCGGAAGCCTCTGCACGCCCTCTCACGCGCCGCCACACTCCCGGCGAGTGAGACCCACTCGCAGACACCTCCACCGGTGCGTGGAGGCGCGTGGAACACTTTCTCCAGCTCCGGCCAAAAAGTTTTCTGATCTTCTCCTCATCCTATTTCTGGATCTGTGCTCTCCTCTTGGATCAGACGTCATTTGGTATTTGTTTTGTGAGTTTTTGGCTTCTTGGAGCTTTTCTTTGACCATTTTCTGTGCAATATGGCCTCTTCTCAAAGGAGTTCTTTTTCAAAATTTTATGATGGTACCTCTTCTAGACCTAAGAGAGATGATCGATGATGTTCTTATTGTAAAAGAACAGGTCATATCAAGGATTTATGCTTTCGCCTTTATGGAAAGCAAACTGTCTTAGAAAAGATGGCAAGGTTGCGTGGTCAACCGCATTTTACTAAAATAACTTCTGCACCTAATGAAACCCAACCTGCATTTCGTCCAGATGAGTTGGAACGGCTCCGAACCATTCTTGATTCTATGAGTAAGCCATCTGATACTAGTGCTTTGACTATGACTGGTATGAGCTCCAAAACTTATTCTTTCCTTTCTTCATGTAATGATTTTAAACATTCTTGGGTTGTTGATTCTGGTGCTACTGATCATATGGCTTGTTGTGCTGACTCCTTTACTTCTTATCATCCTACCATTGGAACTCATACAATAGCCATAGCTGATGGCTCTCATACATCAGTTGCGGGTTCTGGTGACATAAACTTACAGCAGTCCTTACATCTTAAGGATGTTCTTCATTTTCCTAAACTCTCCACAAATCTTCTTTCTATTCATAAAATTACAAAAGATTTGAATTGTACTGTAAACTTCTATCCTACCCATTGTGTTTTTCAGGATCTCACCACGGGGAAGACGATTGGTAGTGCTAAAGAGTAAGGTGGGCTGTACTATCTGGTGTCACAATCTCCTGCAAATAAATTAACAGATCACATCTTGATGTCTAATGGTCAATCAACTGCTGATTCTTTGATTTCGCTTCATCATAAGCGCTTAGGTCATCCTCCATTTAGTTTACTCAAATCTTTATTTCCGTCACTGTTTTTGTCTAAATCTGTTGAGTCTTTTCATTGTGATGTTTGTGAATTTGCTAAGCATCATCGTGTGTCTTTTCCTTCTAGTATTACTAAGAGTGTTGAACCTTTTGATCTTATTCATTCTGATGTTTGGGGTCCCTCTAAAGCCCCTCATGCTTCTGGAAATAGATGGTTTGTTTCTTTTATTGATGATTGCACTCGTGTAACTTGGGTGTACTTAATGCGTGAAAAGTCTGAGGTACCACAACTGTTCTTTCAATTTTATAAAATGATTGAGACCCAGTTTGGTAAAAAAATCAAGAGACTAAGAACAGATAATGGTACTGAATATGTTAATCACAGCTTTTCCCAATTTATAAGAAATAACGGTATGATTCATTAACTTACTTGTGTTGACACCCCCCAACAGAATGGGGTTGCTGAAAGAAAAAATCGTCACCTTCTTGAAGTGGCTCGTGCATTAATGTTTTAGAAACATGTACCCAAATACTATTGGGGAGATGCTATTCTTACTGCAGCATTCTTGATCAACCGTTTACCCACTCGGGTACTTGACCATGTAAGTCCTATTCACTCTATGACTTCTTTTTTCCCTTCTATTCCAACTATGATGAGTCTTCCTCCACGAGTGTTTGGGTGTGTTGCTTTTGTTCATGTTCATAAACATCATCGCAGTAAGCTGGACCCTAGGTCTATTAAATGTGTTTTTCTTGGTTATGTTCCTGATAAGAAGGGCTACAAGTGCAATCACCCTAGTAGTAGGAAATTTTTTGTTTCTATGGATGTTACATTTCAGGAATCTGAGTCCTATTTTCAAGGTCTTCAGGGGGAGAATCCTTCACCAGAAATCTCATCACCTCCCTTCCTTGAGTTTGAATCATCAGTGTCTACTCCTTTACCTATGTCAGTGTATCCTCCACCTGGTCCTGTTCCTCCTGTGTTTGTTCCTCCTGTGTCTGATCCTCTTGTGAGTAATCCTCCTGTGACTGATTCTCCTGTGATTGATACATCAAGTACACCAGAGATACGAAAGATTATGACACCTGAAAGAAGGAAACAACCCACGTTGTCTCAGCAGCAACCTCAATCGTCTGAACCACTGGTAAGTCCTGAATCTCATATTTCTGATCATGATGTTAATACTTCTGATGACTTACCCATTACTACTGATTCTGATGATTTACCCATTGCTCTTAGAAAAGGAAAAAGAGCTTGTCCCAAGAAATCTTGTCCCTCCTGTCCCTCTTGTACTCAATACCCTATCTCCCAGTTTGTTTCCTCTGCTAATCTTTCTGTGCAGCACAAAAGCTTTGTTTCAGCACTAGACTCTATTGCAATCCCAAAATCAGTACATGAAGCCTTGAAAGATAGGAATTGGGCTCAAGCCATGCAAGAGGAGATGAATGCTTTGGAGAAAAATAAAACATGGGAGGTTATTGATAGACCCAACGGAAAGAAAGCAGTAGGGTGCAGATGGGTTTATGCCCTGAAATATAATTTTGATGGCACTCTTGAGAGATACAAGGCTCGTTTAGTGGCCAAAGGTTACACTCAAACCTATGGCATTGATTATGAAGAAACCTTTGCTCCAGTTGCAAAGATGAATACAGTGAGAATCTTGTTATCCCTTGTTGCCCATTACAATTGGGATATAAATTAATTTGATGTGAAAAATGCTTTCCTCAATGGTGAGTTAAAAGAAGAAGTCTACATGAAAATCCTGCCTGGTTTTGATTCTGTGAAGAGGGAAAATAAAGTTTGTAGATTAAAAAAGGCCTTGTATGGATTGAAGCAGTCACCTCGTGCTTGATTTGGTAGGTTTACTAAGGTTATGATGACCTTAGGATACAGACAGAGTCAAAGAGATCACACTCTTTTCTTCAAGCACTCCCAAAATGGGAAGCTTACTGTGCTCCTTGTATATGTTGATGATATTATTATCACAGGTGATGATTTTATGGAGAGACAGACTCTGCAAACACGGCTTGCCTCTGAGTTTGAAATCAAAGACCTTGGGAAACTGAGATATTTCCTAGGGATACAAGTAGCTCATTCAAGCAAAGAAATTTTTATCAGCCAGAGGAAATATGTTTTGGATCTTCTCAAAGAAGCATGAAAGCTCGGGTGTAAACCCTCTAATACTCCTATTGAGCAGAATCACAAGATGGGCTATGAAGAAGAGAGTCCTCCAGTTGATAAAGGACAATATACGGCTAGTTGGGAAATTGATATATCTGGCCCATACTAGACCAGACCTAGCTTATGCTGTTAGTGTTGTCAGTCAGTTTATGCACGATCCAAAGGAAAAACACATGCAGGAAGTAGAGAGAATTCTTCAGTATCTTAAAGGTACTCCTGGTAAAGGATTGTTATTCCGACGTGATGGCAATCTATCTTTAGAAGTCTACACATATGCTGATTATGCTGGATCCGTGACTGACCGTCGTTCTACCACTGGTTATTGCATGTTTCTTTGCGGTAACTTGGTGACATGGAGAAGTAAGAAACAAGATGTGGTTGCCAGATCAAGTGCAGAAACTGAATTTTGAGCTATGGCTCAAGGCATTTGTGAGTTACTGTGGCTGAAAATTGTACTTGATGATCTCAAAATAAAATGTGAGGGACCGGAACAACGGGAAATTCGATCTTCCCGTTCTCAACCTATGACCCATATAAGCTTGAAGTAACTCATGGAACTTCTTCGCAGTGGCTCCGTTCCATGCCTCATTTCATGGGGAACCTCAAAGTGGCTCTATTTCTCATTATATTCCATCCATATACTAATTCCATTCATTGAATATCCCTATCTTGGATGTCATTGAGATAAGAGATGTCGTTTCTAGTCTATCTCTTTCTATTTATATATATATTCTATATAGAATATATATCGAATATGGGAAAGTTGAAAAATCATAATATAATAATCAAAAAATTGCAATAGAAAAGAAAAAGAGAGGTTTGCAATGATTTTTCAATCTTTTATACGGGATAATCTAGTATCCTTATGCATGAAGATAATGAATTCGGTCGTTGTGATCGGACTCTATTATGGACTTCTGACCACATTCTCCATAGGGCCCTCGTATCTCTTCCTTATTCGAGCTCGGGTTATCGAAGAAGGGACCGGGAAGAAAGTATCAGCAACAATTGGGTTTATTACGGGACAGCTCATCATGTTCATATCGATCTATTATACGCCTTTGCATCTAGCATTGAGTAGACCTCATATAATAACTTTTATAACTCTACCGTATCTTTTATTTCATTTATTTGGAAAGAATCACAAAAACTTTTTGAATTATGGATACAAGAATTCAAACTCAATACGTAATTTTCGCATTCAAAGAATTTTCTTGAATAATTTTTTTTTTCAGTTATTAAACCCCCTTTTTTTACCAAGTTCAATATTAATAAGATTAATAAATCTTTACATGTTTCGAAGTAACAATACATTGTTATTTTTAACAAGTAGTTTTGTTGGATGGTTAATAGGTCACATCATTTTGATGAAATGGATTGAATTTATATTAGTCTGGATACAGCAAAGCAATTCGATTAAATCAAATCTACCCATGCAATCAAATAGATTCATTATGTCAGAGTTTCAAAATTTAATGTCTCAAACCTTTATTGTTTTTTTTTTTGTTACCTGCTTATACTATTTCGGCAGAATACCACTGCCCTTTCTTACTACGGATACGGAATTGAAAGAATTTCAAAAAAAGGGAGGGGAATTTGATACAAAAAAAAAACAAAAGGGATCCACCGAAAATGATCTTTTTCCTTATCTTTTTTTGAAAAAAAAAAGAAATTGTACAAAATAGACCGTGAAAAAAATATCTTCAGATTACAAAAATATCTTGTAAGAACTCTTTTTGATTCTAACCGAAGAATTCGTCCATTGCGATATATAAAAAATGATCGATTTGAAAATGTTATAAGAAGTGAAATTTCACAAATTTTTTTTAGTATATATCAAAGCGATGGAAAAGAAAGAATATCTTTTACATATCCACCCAATTTGTTTACTTTTCTTAAAATGATGGAAAAAAGAATTTTTCTTTTTACAGGGGAAAAAATATCTTATGATCCATTTTCTAATTATTGGAACTCTAATAATGAAGAAAAAAAAAAAAAAACTCAGCAATGAATTTTTAAATAGGGCAACAAAAGTTCTGGATACAGAATTTATTCCTCTGGATATATTTGAAAATAGAATCCGATTGTGTAATGATGAAACCAAAACAAAATACTTAATTAAAACATATGATCCTTTATTGAGGGGATCCTTTCGAGGACGAATCAAAAAAAGTTTTTCAACCTCAATGAAAAATGAAACTTATACAAAAAATCACATTTTGATAAATAAGATTCAGGGTATATTTCTTTATATTCCTAATCATAATAATTGTTTTTTTAATAGTAATTATCCAGAATTTGAAGAAAAAATAGATATATTTGATACAAAATCATTATTAACTGAAATTTGTTTTTTTTTTTTTAAGTTAATCAGTAAATTTTCCGAAAAAACAGTATCAAGCTTGAATTATGAAACACTTTTTTTTTTTTCAGAACAAGTAAAAATGTACTCCGAAAAACGAAAAACGAAAATAAAATTTTTATTCAACACAATTCGAATTGATAGGAATGATAAAACAATCGTTAAGAGAAAAAAAAAATGTTTTGGAATAGATGAAATCGGTAAAAAAGTTCCTCGGTGGTCATACAAATTAATTGACGAGTTGGAACAACTGGGAGGGAAAATAGAAAATTATCAAATTCGTTCCAGAAAAGCCAAACGTGTAGTGATTTTAACTAAAAAATCAAAAAATGACGATACTTATACTGATATTAAGGATACCCATAATACCGATAAAAAAGGGGAATTGGCTTTAATACGTTATGCACAACAACCGGATTTTCGACGAGACATAGTAACAGGATCTATACGCGCTCAAAGACGTAAAACAGTCACGTGGAAACTGTTTCAAGAAAGTCCGCATTCCCCCCTTTTTTTGGACAAAATAGATAAAACTCCCTTCTTTTATTTTATAAAGACAAAAGAAAGTGATAAAAAGGGAGAGAGTAAAATACAAAAAAAAGAAAAAGAGGCAAAAAGACGTATAGAAATAGCAGAAGCCTGGGATGACGTTCTATTTGCTCAAGCAATACGAGGTTTTTTATTAATAACCCAATCAATTCTTAGAAACCGGCCCTGTCATTGATCCGGTCGAGGTATTGGGTCACTGAGTCTCTGGTTCAACCAGTGGGTCACTGATTCAACCAGTGGGTCACTGGTTCAACCGCATGACCCGGTAATTATATATGTAATTTTATAATTTATATTAAAATATTATAAACATACTCAAATATCTAACAAAAAATGATAAAAATTTTGTTATCAAAAAAAAAAATGATAAAAATTTCAAATATTTTAATATAAAAAATAATAAATCACATATTATTATCCAATAAATGATCAAACAAAAATATAATAGTCGTGATACGGGGCTTTAGGTTCAGAAAATGACATCTCTAACTATAAATCAAATCAAAATTTTCTGGATAGTGCATAATTGAGATAATATTAGTGTTGTAGGTACATAACTTATGTAAGTCAATAAACAAAAAAAATTCAAATATGTCCATTATAATTTTTAAAAATAAAAATAAATAATTTGATTGTTTTTTTAGACCGAGTCAAGTCACCGGTTTTCATGTAAACCGGCCAGATCGGACCGGGTCACACCGGTTCTGATGCATAGCCGATCCATTACTTCAACTGGACCGGTAATATGACTGGTTTCCAGGTCGACCCGACCGAGTCGGTCTGGTTTTAATACAACTGGTTTCATAAAAAATAAAAATGTTGAGTAACTTATGAGATAATTTGACTCACTTCTAATCAGTTTTGAGAAGTTAAAATTTATATAAATCAACATTTTATTTGGGTAATTTATATTACTATTTTAATGACATGATCTAAATTTAATTTGTACTGTGAAATTAAATAATTACTTAATGATAAATAGGTAACTCATTTGAAATTGAGAAAAAATAAACTATTCCCTTTTCTTTCTTTTTTATAGAAAGGGAAATTCTTAAACTTAAACCAAAATGAATCTGACTCTAACACCCCTCCCTCGTTCATTTATTCATCATCATTTAGCATCAAACACATAGCACCCCCAACAGGGGATTGTTCAAGATACAAATTCAATCACAAATTCCTTCTGGCAAACCATACAGTAAAAATAATAATGAACATGAATCCAATGATTTTTCAAATGCTCTTTTGCTCATTTTTTTATTTTTTTTTTCCTTTTTTACATTTCATGAATAATTCCATGACACTTCCATTGCAACTTCAAAGGTCTGATGGACTTTATGAGACAAAATTTTATTGAGGATATGAAACCATAAAAAAAAGAAAAAAAAAGAAGAAGCAAACATGGACAAGACTTTTCATTCATTCAAGATGGTCATGAGGCCTTATTGACATGAACATTGCAGCATACTGCAAGAGCCTCCGCTCAGTGCCTCCATTGTCCCTTACAGGAGTCACTGGACCTCTAGTCCTCTGCCTGTAACGTCTCCAAGCTAATTGAATGTTGACAGCAGCCCATGTTCTCCAATTGGATGAGTAATATCTTGCAGTTCTCTTTAGTCTCTCATTGGCAAATTTGTAGCGGAAGTGATCAGTGATGTACCTCAAGTTATCAGCATCAAGACCAAAGGCTTCTACTGATTCAAGGCATACAAATGTGGCTGAGGAAGCTGGAAGCCTATCCATAAATGGTCTGCGAAGGCAATAGGAAAGTAGCTCATCACCCAAAAAACCTCCTGGTTCGAGGATACTAGAGGCTACCATGCCTTTGCTGAGACTTTGGTTGCGTTTTATGCGTCCGCGAACAATGAACACAATCCTTGGTACAGGATCACCTTCTCTAATTATCTGTTTCACAAGGGCATTGAGAAGTTCAACTACATCATGTGTCATGAACCAACTCTTTTAAGTTTTAAGCTGTTAGGTGAAGGTAAATGAATGATTTTATATTATATCCGATAACATGATTGTCATTTCTTTATGGAATGGGTGAAAGAAAAATTGGTCTTAGATGTCAATTGTTTATATGATTCATACCTTTTCATCTTTAGAGAAGACTAGGGGCTTCACCCTGTCACAGATGTTGTCAAGAATAAGATCATCCAAGTTGTGGAACAAAGGAACCTGTCAAACAGATAAATATTTACTAGGAGAGTTTTAGGGCTAAGAATAAGGATGAGCATTGCCTCTCCTTCACATAATATCCAACTTCTTTCATTTGCAGGATTGAACATTTCTTACCTTTTTAATGAGGTCTAGGCAAAGATAGCGCTTGATGTCCCTCCTCAGCCCCTCAGGCAAGTCTTTGATCAACTCCATCTCATCTTCTCCTCCCATGGCTGCCCATCTCTGACGTTCAAAATGGCGAACTCTTTGTCTTAATCGGGATGGCAACTGCCTCCTCCTCATCCACCATTCCATGTCCCGACATCTCAGCTGCATCTTTCTCTTCTTTGCCATGACTGCATGTAAGAATACCTTCATGGTAGGAACGATCCCCTTTGTTAGACCATGTTTGAATATGAAACAGTTTTTCCTCAAGTGCAATGGTATCCAGAATCTTTTCATATTTACTTATAATAATAATGTACTTTGGATACCTGGATGTTACCAATCAACAAAGTGAAAAGCAGTAGTCCACTGAGTACAATGCATATGCTGAAGATCACTTCTAGCCAGTTACTTGTGGGTTCAAGATCATTTCCGAAAGTGCTGCAAGAATTAGTTGGGATTGTGAAAACACATAGATCCTCAATCAAACAGGTGTGAGGCTTATTTCATCTAAAATATTATTTGGATACATCTCAATCAAACACATTTAGGAAACATTTCTGCATGAATCCAAATGTGATTCATTCTATTAATTCATGAAAAAAAATCAGGATCCGACGTCGGATACTAGTAAAAATGTGTCCGTGGAAGACAAAGTTTTTCTGCCGCAAAGGCAGAAATACTTTTGCCTTATAAGTATTATACACTAACTTGAACAAGCATAAACTTTGTTATTTAAGAAATAGTAACATTAAGAGTTTGTTTATTGACCAATTTCACCTGAGAGTCATCAAACCCCAAAAAATGGGATAAAGAATCTTGACAGCCAAAGAGTTGCTGGATATGACTGGAAGTGCCCATTGGTAGATCCCATATTTGAAAGGTCCTTCAACATCTAAGCACAAAGGCTTTCTTACCACTGTTGAGTTTCCACCACATGGATTTCCTGTCGTGCCTGTTGGTAACAAAAACTGGTAGCATACCTCCTCTGAGCATGACAGAGAGAGATTGCATCCATGAGTTCTTTCACACTGCTGCCGGAGGCATGATGCAACGCGTTGAATAGCAAGGACATACCAGCACCCTCCAGCAACCTAGGGAAAAGTAAAAAGAATATTCAACTTACAAGCAACGGATTTAGTAACAAGTTGATAATAGACATGCTCAAATTTCAGTAATGAGGTTTGCTTACATGGGAAGCAATGAAATAAGCTATGAGATTGAGACCAAAGCCCCACCAAATGGTGCCAAAGATGTAGCCTGTGACTTTTTGCATTCTTCTCATCATGCAGATGCTATGGTAAACCTTTGGGAGAAATTGGAACAAAAAAATTAATAGCATTATGGTCATAATGATTTTAATTTGCTCTTCTCTTATCAACTTTGGTACTATTAACCAAAACACAGCCTGCAAACAGAAGGAAAACATGTAGTCAAAAGAGAGCTGATTTCTAAAAAAACAGGCAGAGACATAAAGGTCTAGGGAGCACATGTTAATTTTCTAGTGATTATAGGATGTTTTTATGTCAACGAGGATTCCACCATACAAATAATTGCACTGATTTAAATTAATTGTGTGATTTAATAGAAAGTATAATTTGGAGATATATTGGCTTCTAAAGACTAAACACATTCTTAAAAGCACACACCCATCAACTTGTCTTGGTCTAGCGAAAGGGGCTTGAATCCTTGGAGCATGTGATCTTTCGAGGAGGAAGATGGATAAAGGTAAGATTTTATCTAAACTTCTAATTTATGTATACTATCTGTTCATCAGCTTCAAGTAGCAGACAAAATCACAAACCTCCTAGCATCTGAAGCTGACGAATGATGCTTGGTAATTTTTTTTTTAAAAAAGTATTAAAGAAAACTTTTAAACCTTAACTATTGACTGCGCATACCTTAAAAAATTGACCATTAAATAGGCTTCTTCTTCTCTTTTTTTCCATGTGACTAAAATGTTAGTGGAAAATATGCTTGATAAAGAGTTGTATGTAATAACTTGAATTTTATGATGAACCATACATGTACAAAAATACTCTTTGCATTAATATATATATATATATATATATATATATATATATATATATTATATAATATAATCATGAACTCAAAAACAAATTTTAATACTGTTTTGAGCATTTATTCAAAAGTTTAAAAAATAAAAATTAAGGTAAAAGTTTATAATTTTCTATTAAAGATTATACAATAATATTTATAAAATTAATATCTAGTAAAAAATATTTATTCTCAATCAGTAAATTTATTTCTAAATCTGAGTATTAGTGACATTATAATTATTTGTATAAACATATTTTAAATGTGAGATAAGATCCTTTGACATCAGTGTCAAATTTGAAATTTGACACCTCATCTAAGAGCCGTTAGATCAAAAAAGATAAATGGTGTCACATACTTACAAATCAGAGTCGTTGATCTTTTTTGATCTAATGACTCTCAGATGATGTGTCAAATTTCAAATTAACACTGGTGTCAAAGGATCCTACTTCTTTAAATTTAGTTACTTTACATAATTACTATATATTTTTATCTATATTCAATATTATTGATATAACATTGTTCAAATATTTAAATTCTACCTAAAAGAAGAAGAAAAGTTGTTTAAAAAGCAATACTTAAAAGTTAAAAAAATATCAATCCCGCAAGTTACTTGGTACAGAGATTAAACCAAAAACCAAAATGAAAGATGATATATAGGGGGGGAAAATGTATCGTTATTTAGAACTTATTAACTCAAATTCAATGAAAGCATTTAATTTTGTAATTAACATGTTGCTCAAAAGCCTAATCCAAATCATCATCAAAGATTTCACAATAATGTCATCCAATTGATGAGGTGGCAACATGTGGACGAAGACAACAAGACAAAGATATATGTTACCGTGAATTATGGAAAGAGATATATATTTGTCGGGACGAGGGATGTCTGCAGTTTATTATTGTCCTCTAATACTTTATGGAAAAGTGGAAATCAAACTTTCAACCTCATAATTAAAGGCTTTATTATTCTCCTGTCAAAGATTCTTTTCCTGCTTACTTAAAAATAATGCGTGGTTCATTTAATATTTTTTTTTTTTTTTTTGTGGATTCCATTGCTGTCTGTCTCTACGGCTAGAGAAAAGATTTTTCCTATAAAAAGAGACTAATAAAGTTCTATAATTAATAGGATTTTATTCCTCTTATTGCCCACAAAATAATAAAGAGATAAAAAATGAGTAAATATTTTTGGATACTCAACAAAAAAATATGAAATCCATTTTAACCTTTAGAAAAAGTAAAATCGACGTGTAGTTTCTCTAAAATTCCAGTTCTTTGAAATTATGATTTTTTAGAAATTCAAAAAAAATTCACATTAATTATTCAAAAAGAATTAATATGGATAAAAAAATTTTAAGAGATTAAAATAAATTTTGTATTTTTTGTTGAGTAGCAAAAAAAATATTTATTTAAAAAAAAAAATTCAAGGTAGAGTCCATCAAATATTGTGTGTGCCGAAATGGCCAACTTTCTTCCGTGAAGGAGTAAACAAATCCCCTAATTAATAACACTAATTCTTTATCTTATCTTTCACTTTAAGCACTTAAGAATATTAAATTATACTTCAGAATCTAGGTTAGTTTGTGTATCTGTGCATCTTATTACAAGGTATTGTTAGCGAAGAAATCTTTTTTGTCCTTATGGTAAGAAAGTCTGACACCAAACAAAAATTAATATTAAAATAATTGACATCAAAGAACTCAATCAATCACCAAATGTCATCACTCATCACCAGTTCACTAAATTTCAAATGAGTTTAAAATTTGTTTTATTGTTGAATTAGATAATTTTATCTACTACACATACGAAAATGTGTAAAATCTAGAGTCATATGAAAAAAAAAGAAATAAATAAATAAATCATATACACTTTTATATAAGTGTAAGAGATAATTTGGCTCTGTTTGATTACTGTTTTTAAAAACAGTTTTTTAGTTTTAAGAAAAAAAAATAAAAAAATTCAATTGATAAGACCAGTTTTGTAAAAAAAAATATTAAAAACTGTAACATTTTTTTGTTTTTAGAATAAAATTTAGAAAACATGTCTGAACTGTTTTTGTTTTCTGTTTTAGTTTTTAACTTTCAAAACAAAAAAATACATAAAATAACTATTTCTATAATTATTCTATATAAAACAGGCCCTTTATCTCGTAAATAATACGAAAGATATTAAATCCATTTTAAATTTGAATTCAATTTAAGTAATGAAAAGTAATTAAATTTTTATTAATTGAGCATAGTTATAATACTAACCTGGGGAACAGGGAGGATGACAAATGCGTCGAACCAGAAGCCCTTGACTGACCGCAGGTAATGGTTGGCGATGGCACGTGCATCCCACACGAGTTTCCCGCACCCAACCACAAGCGACTCCCTCGACACGTACGCCAGCTTGAACTGCAGCCACAGGTGGAACAAATGCACAGCATCCACACACGTCCGCGCCACCGTCACCATCGCCGCCAGCCCCCCATCCATATACAAACACGGCGTCCCCTCCCTCCCGATCGACAGCGCGTAGAAAAACAACGGATCAATAGCCAGCGCCACCCCACGCGCTATCAATAACGCACGGTTCCACACCTGCACGCGCTTGCTCCTCGGATCCAAAACCCGCCCGAACGGACCCGACTTTGTCCTAAACCCGACCCTAACACCCGGCCCATTATTTCCGGGTTGGTTCTGAATTGGAATCAAAGAGGAACCCGCGGATGCCTCCCACTGTGGCTGATGACAGCTGTCACAGCTCGTGGAGTGGAACACCGGCACGCCTACTTGCGTGCAGGCGTAACACTCCACAGCACTGCTATTTGGGCTGTCATCAGTTATGGAAACAGGAGTGACACTGTCTCCACCATTGTTATATATGCTTGGAGGATTCCTTTCCTCGTAGAATAACCGTGGAAGAGAGAAGAAGTTTGGCATGGTTGATGTTGGAGTGTAACCATGGGTGAGAGGGTGAGGTTAAGGTGTGTCAGGTGAAGCACATGGTGTTAGATGAGAGAGTATATATATATATATATATGAGAGCATGGAAATGAAGTGAAGTGAGTGAAGGTGGAGTTTGCATGTGAAGGTTAAATGGAACTTGCGGTTACGCAATGTAGGGTTGTGTTCAGTATATCAGTGTGTCTGTTGCGTTCAACACTGATCTTTGCTCTTTGCCGTTTTCTGTCACCGCTGGGGACCACCATATATATATATATATATATATTTTTTTTTTGCTTGGCTATTTCCTCATCACAACTCTCTCTCTCTTTCTTTTCTTTTTCTTCTTATCTTGACATCGAGTGACTCATGTTCTGAGGATAATTCAATAACTTGTATTCAAATTTATTTGGGATTCAATTGTTTGTATCTTAGCGAATGATGAGACGAGACAGTTTTTTCTTAATTACGAGAAATGTGAAGCTTTTTTCATACTTTAATGAATATCCAATCTCATTTAAACCTTTTCATTTTCTAAAAAAAATAAAAATAAAATAAAAACCAAACAAATTATATGAATGGGGATTGGAGATTATTTTAAGAGGAGGGATATTTTAACTATCAAAATTTTCTACTACCAACTTACTACTTATCTAATCACCATGAGATTAATATCTTCTCTCTCTTCAAAAACTTTTTAACATTCTCTCTCTTTGATCCAATAGTGATGTAATAGGTAGTAAGTTAGTAGTAAGAGTTTTTGGTACTTAGAATATCTTCACTCTTATTTCAATACCATATTTTTTTTATGGATAATGATAGTGAGTTATTAAATCATTTATTTGTTATTTAAAAAAATTAAGAAAATATCAATTATTTCTTTTTAACTTTATTATTGTCTCTCATTACTTTAATTGACTAAAATGATAGAAAACATTACTAAATAAGAGAATAATTTAGTTAAATATAATTTTATTTTCTTAAAATTAAAGTATTTAACACTTTTTTTAACTCTTATTTAAAATCTTAAAATACTTAGGGGAAGGATATTGTGACAACCAAGTTGTGTTACTACCAAGTGACTACCAATTAATCTCACCGTTAGATCGATTATGTTGATCCAACGGTTATATTTATTTCCATATTTTATGGTCATGGTTTCCCATATTTAAAGTGAAATTATTAAATATGGGAAATCATAACCATACAAAGGTGGAAATAAATATAAAGTATTAAATTTGAGAAATCATGACCATACAAAGATAGAAATAAATATAACCGTTGGATCCACATAATCGATCTAACGGTGAGATTAATTGATAGTCACTTGGTAGTAACACAACTTGGTTGTCACAATATCCTTCCCCAAATACTTATATGTTAAAAGAAAAGTGGCATAAAGAGTTTTATAATTTGAAAAATAAATATTCTCCTTGTCTTCTCAGACCAGCTGGCTTCTTTTTCTGTTAGCTGAAATAAAAAGCATAAACAAAAACAAAGCGTATTGCATATTTTTCATGTCGAATATAATATAAAAATTAGAAAGTTTCTGCATTCACATATATCGTGTATTCTGTTTAATACTTCATATTAAAAAACACGAAGTTATTCAATAATGTGTATTTTTATGTTGTAGTAATGTTTTTATACTTCAATTTTCTTTATTCTGACAATGAAAGCAAATTCTAAAGTTTAGGAGATGACAATACTAGTAACAGAATTTATTCGATAGTTTTATGTTACGATTTTTTTGTTTTTATTTTATTATTTGATTATTGTTGCTAATTAATTACTAGACTAGTGTTTGAATTTATTTGAATAAGTCTTGGTAGTTTCTATAAGCCTAACAAAGTGGGTAAAGGTAATTTTAGGTGGTTGTTATTTTTATGCATTATGATTTTTTGAAAAAGTGTTTATCTTTTTAAATGACATAACTTATATCATTTCACTCTCACAAAGAGGTGAGATCTACACCTTTATTTTTTTGTCACCTCTCTCTTCTCCTTTATCTATTTTTTTTTTCTCTCTTAAAATGACATAACTTTACATTCTTTAAAATGACACACATTTTTTCCATGATTTTCATGTGTAATTGTTTATTTAATTATAGTTTTGATAAATAAAATATTAGAGTTAAAATTATTAGTTTGACATTGCGTGCTTCATTAGTACATCCATCATTTTTCTCCATTTTTGTTCTCTAGTCTTTTTTTTAATTATCAAAATGGGACTTTTTCTATTATCTCTTTGTTCTGTTATATTTGTGTTAAAAAAACCAAGATGAAAAAAAAAAACCAAGATAAGACCTTATACGTACCATTTTAAGACATTCATTCAATAGTTTACATGCACTGGACGACAGAAATTGATAATGTAGCCCAAATTTCCCTTGGAAAAGAAGATAAAGCGTTAAAAATAAGGGAAAATGTGTATCATTTTAAAGGATATAAAGTTGTGTCATTTTAAAAGAGAGAAAGAGATAAATAAAGAAGGAGAGAGAGAGTTAACAAAAAAAATAAAAGTGTGGAACCCGCCTCTGTGAGAGTGAAAAAATATAAGTTATGTCGTTCGAAAAGATAACACTTTTTCTTAAAAATAATGAAAAATGTTCACCAATTATTGCAGAGCTATCCTAATCAAAATGAAATGCTAATTAAAGTAGTTGAATGATTTTGTTTATACAAACACTAGGCGCCGGCAGGTACTGTACTTTCACAGTTTCACATATCCTAGTCACTTAATTGCAGTACTGATGAATGATGATATATGAAGGTGAGCTAACACTTCCACTTTTGGATTTTGTCTTGTGCTCTTAAATAGAATTAATGGTGCTTGTTTGATGCTTCAATTTCAAGCTATCTTTAAGTTTGTGGCTAATACAAGAAAACTAGTTAAATCAGCGAGATCATTTCTGAGTCGCTTTATTAAATTACCTGTCACGTCGCTTTGAAAAATATCTTACAAAAATAAAAATAAGAATAAAATTAACGTTAATTGATCACATGGATAACGAAAGCGCATAATTTCCTCAAAATCCAACCATGATCCAATCAAAATATGATCATTACATGACATCGTGGATGTAACTATAAAAAATTACTTGGTTTCCAATTCTGTAAATTATCTCTAGACAGTTGGATATTTCATACGTAAATTTTGAAAATTTAACTTCTCATATGTAATTTTTATATGAGTAAATTTTGTGTATATATCTTTTATATAAATATTGTTGGAACCCCATTTATTTAATGTTTATAAGAATAATAAAATTTACATGTGAGACGGATTATGTGTCTACTTCTTTTCTTAGAATCCTAAGGATAATTCAAGTGGCAACTGAGTGTCTAAGAATTTTCTTTGGTCTTGTGTTTAAATATAATCAAAACAAATTGTTGAAATTCTTTGAAGGTTAGAGGAAAAATGATTTCCCTTTGAAAGAAGATTAGTTTCACCCTTTGTCTGGTGAATGTGGACCAATGCACATTTTGTTTTAATGAAAAGCTAGTCTTAAGAGTCGTACTCCGAGAATAAGATGGCTGGAGAAAGTTGTCTGGAGATACCTTCAGATTATCTATAAAAAAAATTATTTATTTCAATGGTATCAGTTATTAAATTTAAGGATGATTTAATGTCTATTTATATAATTTTTTTTAATAATTATATATCTGGAATTTATTTTCTTTACAAAATGTTTTTTTTTTTTTTAAATTATGCATTTTTATGTTTAGTTTGAAAAAAGTTTTAAAAAGCATTTTCTCGAAAATGCTTTCATATGTTTAATACACAATTCACGAGAAATGAGTTTAAATTTGATCTATTTTCATTGTAAATTCTTTTGCACTATCAATAAAGAAAGACAATAATACATTCTTATAGTATTAAGAATTTTCAATTATAGTTAAAACTTCGAACAAATCGTTCAATCATTGGTGTTGTGAGAATTTTTTTTTGTCTTGCCAATAGTTTAAAATCAAATTAAAAGTTTGTCAAGTTTAAACCATTAAAAGATGAAAATATTATGTACCAAAAGGGGGGAAAATAATTTTTATTTTAAAGAAAATGAAGTCACGTAAACTTAGCTAGAAAAAAGTAAAATATATTTTTTTGCTATTTTTTTCTCTGTGTGAGCCTGGATGTTCTGTTGTTATGTATTTCAATTCTAAAATTATGGAATATAAATTAGTGTCGCTTTAATTAATGTTATTATGGAAAAAATAGCAAGTATTTAAAGACATTGTAAATGAAAAATACCTTTAAATTCAATATTTAAAATTGTGGACTAAGATATGAAGTCAATTCCGAAATTGTGATAAACTTTATCACTTAAGTCTATTAATACTTAAATCCCTATATCATAATTCCCGTCCCCTGTAACATCTTAATCAACTATATGTATTTCTAAACAATTTTTCTACGTTTCCTCTTATATCAAGTTCAATCCTCCCTAGTAACAAGTTTTCTCTATAACATTTGTCAGAGAAAATAATATTTATGTTACAACTGATTTAAAAAATGCAATGCCTTTTTATACCAAATGAAAAAATGTTAGATAGTTAGAATTTTCTTTTTGTCAGAAGTTTTGCTACAATAATATAACACGCTTTTTAATTTTTGAATTTGTAAATAGTTGTTGCCACTTTATTTCAAGAAATAATTATAATTAAATTCTGTTAAAAGTTAGATTATTATTTATTTATTTATTATACAATGATAGCTCTACATTTAAACCCATAACCTCATCTAAATTACCTAAATCCCTCGTCATTAAATCAATCCTTGGCTTATTAATTTCTAAACATGTATTGATCTTCCCAAATTTATTTGGGATTCAATGATAAGTTGGATGGTGGCATCAATGTCTTCCCCTTGCGTGTTAAAGTGAGAAAGTGTGAAACGTGGGGAACGTTGTGTTTTCAAGAAGGTTCGCAGTGTCTGTATTTATTACGAATTAAATTTCGTAGGCGAATGCAATATTATTGCAACTCATAAATTTGATTGACAAGAGATTCCTTATCAGTTGTCATATCATTCCTATCACTG